TTTCAATCAGAGCTAGTAATAGTTTGGGAATATCTTAGAGTTCAGAAATCTAGGAACTCTAGTTTGCAGACCTCATTTTTTTGAATGGATTTAGAAAATTGTAACTGAAGTGTAGGCTCTGAAGTTTAACTTAGCATAGAAATATGTCTTACTAAAGAGGTACAAGATTAGATATGTGGGTTTGTTAAATCTTAATATATAATGCTTAGAGATATTATTGTACGAGGCAGAGATTAAATGGTGAATGACTGAAGTTTCTTCATCTATCAAGTCAGTCTGTTTACCTTCATCATTTGATAACTTTCTAAGTTCTTCGGTCAAGGGGATTCTCAAAATGATGTTGCCATTCCTACCATAGCAATTTGGGAGCAATTGCCAAACTCTTTCCTAGTAAAGGGACTAAACACTTTAGCAGGAGATGCAAAACTTTCAAAAGAGGATGGGCTGGATGGTTGATGTGCCATTAAGTCAGTGTAAATTCTTAGGAAGTATATAGACTTTTTCTAATATGAAAGAGGGTGTGCAAAATAATTTTTGTTAATGATTAAAATAATCACATCTTTGTGATTATTCTTTGGAAGTGATTCCTGGCCTTCTCTGCATATAGGTATGCACCAACACACTTCGTTTGAGAAACATGAAAATAGCCGTTGCTTCATGTGATAGCTCTATCAGCAAATCCTGAGACTTGCTGTCCTTCGTTGCTTGCTATATACTGTAAGGCAGCTGTTTCATTCTGAGTGACACAAACTGAGTAAATTGGCAATGCTGCAGGAAGTTTGCAGGCCAACTTCTGTAAGGAAGGTCAAGTTGTTTTCTTGGTGGAATTAAAACTTTACACATGCAGTTTATAATAATGATGAAAATATTTAAGAGGTGCTTCAGATAATAACTGAAAAGGAAGGTAGGCATGCCAACACAGATGAGTAAAGGAAAATTGCTAAACAAAATTGAAAATATAAAATCAGAAACCTCTGCAAGGAGCAAATCTATCTATGTGGTCACTAGGCGTCAGAAGGAACATTACGGCACATAATTAATCATCAATCTTATAAGGAACATGAGAAAAACAGCAGAAAATAAAGGGGAACCAAGAAAAAAGAAATAAAGATGAATAAGTTACACAGAACCACACTAGGAGTTATCATATAGAGTTCTATTTCACATGTCAAAGAACGGATGTCATGGAATGCTGTAATGTGCAAAATTTTGACATAGCAACATAGGTGAACTTCTATGATTTAGAAATGTGTGCAATCTAAATTATAATGGCTTGTTTAATGCAACATCTTGCTTAACCCATGTTTTGGCAGTACTTGTGAATGAAGCCAGAGCTTGGTCTTGAAATTTTTGCATAGTTCATGTTTTATTGGAATCTTTTTTCTTCAATTGTCGCCCCCTCTCACCATTTAAGCTTGATTTGTTCTAGATGAAATAAAAGGAAATGAAAGCTGAGTTAATAAATTGGACAAAGAAGCTGTCTGTATAAAGCAGGCATAGTGCCAACAGTATGCTTTGGATACCTCTTACGATGACCAGTCACTTTCAATTTTGGGCCAGTAAAGTTAATATATTATTATCTTGTTCTATTTCACTATGATTTCGCATGGTGAGAATTGATATTACAATGGAGGGAAGTTCTAATTAGAGTTTGCCCCTAATTTTGTAAACACTGCTCTGGCTGCTTGCATATTTTACAAGTGGTTTTAAAAGTCTTATTTTGATGGTTTGTTTTTAATCCCTTTTGCTTGACTGTCTCTAAATGTAAAGATGGATTGTAAAGTTGAATTACAGTAAGATGGGACATTGATATAGTGACTGTGTGAAATTGATACAAAATAATTAAAGTGTAAAGTCAATGTTGAAATGGAGTATATGAAAGAAGAGAAACTACAGAAATCCTAAGGTATTTTAAAATGTAATGATCATTCTTCATTGCTCCAGTTATAAATATAGACCGAACTTTAATAATGTAAACAGAACTTGGTTGTTTTCTTTCAAAATAAATAATGTTTTCTTGACTATGGTTTCAAGAGAGTTGCTTATCTTTCAGATATTGCTAGTCCTCTCCATCACAGAAGCCTTTTCTATTGCAATATAGGAAGAGAGGGAGATTTGAATGAAATTTTCTTCAAACTCCTCCATGTATTGCTTAAAATATTTCATACATTTCCAATAATTAATAAATCATTAATGTGTTTGTCTTTTGTGTCTGTGAAATGCCTAGACATTGCCAAGATTGTATGTAAACAAACCATGTTTTAGAAATAATAACAGTCATTATCAGATAATAATATCAGATATGATATTATCAAGTATGATAAACAGCAAAACACTTTTAAAGAAGTATATTTTAAAAAGTGAGCTTTTCATGGCAGTGATAGTTTTCAATTATATGAATTGTATAACTATATACTTTATTGAGATGTAGAAGGTTGAAGGTGTCTTGAAATAATAAGGTATTTAACCATTAGTATTCTTTTAAAACCACATTTCTTTGTATCTAAGAAGAAGCTAGGAATATCCTGAAACAGAATTATTTTTCTTTGCTTCTTCCTTCATCCGGAAATTAAAGGAAAAGCCAAAGTTGTTGAGGCATTATGAAATACCAATATACTTTAGGCTTATGTAGAAAATATTGAACTTTTCCAGATTTTTCCTTCTGGTGGTTCATGGGAATTTATTGGTATAATAATTGTTCAATTTTAGCACACTCCACCATTTTGTAACATTATGATCTAATATTTAAGAATTTTGATGAATTTGCCTAATCATAAAGTTTTAGATACTTTCTTCAAAAACCATAAACTTGTGAAGAAAATATGTCCTATCAGAACAATAAACTGTATCAGTTTCATCTGTTGATTTTAAAAAGAAAAAGCTGATTAGTGTGTGAAAAAGGGTATGTAAAAGCTTGTTAGTATATGGAAAAGAAATTTACAAAGAAATGCACATTTGTCACTTTATTGTTCTCTGTGGAAATTTCTTATAAGATTCCAGAAGTGCTGAAAATTAACACTGTCTGAATATGTCTTAATTCTCTAATATATTTTACACTAATATATGAATAGAGTAGTGGTAATAATAGTGGTATTGGGAGAAAGCCTCTTAGCTAAAATACTATTACTTTATGTAAATGTCAGCTTAAAGCCAACATTATTTTTGTGGGGGTGAGAATGATTAAAATTTTGTCTGGGCACAAGAGAGTCATCTTTATAAACTGATAATATCATAGGCAACAAATTATAATGTTCTATTGATAATTGGTGGTTAGTTGTTCTATTATTTGGCCAAAATTCATAAGAGTAATAAAAGCTTGTGATTGTTAAGATTAAATTGTTTGTTTTATGGTATAACAAGTATTTTAATGCTGCCTTTTACAACTTAAAGTCTCTTAATTTTGTTCTTGTTCATTGTTTTTTTTTTTCTTTCCATTTTTAAAGGATGTAATTAGTAAATTGGCTTTTCTACTAAAATATTACTTGGTGGAAAAGAAACAAGCGGCATTGTCTTTCCAAAGATGTTCATATACTCTTGTAGATACAACTTGTAAAAAAGTTTTGCAGTAAGCTTTTCTTCTGATAAATTGGTAATATGTATGCAGTTACAGGACTGATTATTTTTACATGGACCTGCTGCATGCAGATGTTACACTAAACTATGATTTAGAGTTTTTCAAGAAATAAGCAATAGTGAGCCTCAACGAAGTAAATGCATATTTTTAGTGTTTAAGGCTATATTTTAAATGAACTGCAATTTTTACCTGCTGTGTTTATTGGGAGTACAGAAAGGATAAAGGATAAAAGAGAGAGAAAGCTAGCCATAATTAGAATTGGAGCCATAGTCATCATTAGTTGCCACTTGGAGGGAACTGATATGGCTTAGTACATAGATTGAAACACTAGATAGCTGATTGATTCTCTCGCTTTCTATAAAGATTACTCCACGTGTTGGAGCAATGATGGGTAAAACAAAAGTCTTGGGCCCAGTTCAGAATAGAACAATAACATAAATCTTCCTGTTACCAGAAGGTGAGCAGGGAATTTAAAACTCTATTTTGTGACTTGTGTTCATTACAAGTGAGAGTAGTTGGCTGGGAAAATAACTACCACATGATGTTTTTGGCTTTTTAATAAGCTGCAGACACCCCCACTAGATTTAGCCTACATGTCCCCCTCTACTGTCAGTAAGATTGGTCCAAACCACTGTTCTAGCAGACAGTAAAGTTAATTTTACTGTGATTTGCAGCTGAAAAGAAAATGGCAAATATCTAGTTTGTCTTCGCTCCCTCTATAGACACCTGTGCTTTTCCTTTTTTTTTTTTACTGCGTAGTAGTTAAACTTTTGCCTTTTGATATGTTGGTTTGAATTCCAGCAGAAATAGCTTTATGAAAGCTAGAGTGCTGTAGAAATTAAGGTGCTGGATTAGAAGAAGGGAAATCCAGGTTCAAATTTTACCTTCAGGCACAGAAGGTCACCAATCACTTTCTTCAGGCCAGTTTAACACACAAAACGTGGTTGTGGGATGAAATAGGAGGAAGAAGTAACAATGTAGGCCACCTTGATTTATAAGTCAGAGTACAAATCTAATGAATAAATTGATTGCACAACCTTTCCATAATATACATACAAACCATACATAATATGTATAGCACAGGCAATTTTCTTTCTAGTGTCGTCATTAAATGGGGGTGGTGGTAGAGGAAATTAAAATTCTCCCTATCTAACTTGAGTGCTCTTGAGAACCTGGTAGTTTCTCATGTAAATTCCTCTGGAAGGTTAGGACAATATAGCTCTGGCATCATTCTTTATTTAGAAAGCTGAATATATTTTTATTCATTGACTGTCTTCAAGTACACCAGCAGGTAATAGGATGCTGCTATCATAATGCAGGAGGCATGCCATTTCCTTGAAGCCACATTTTCTGGAAAAGGCTGCTCAAACAGTTTGTCTGTTGACTTCATGTGAACTTTTGCTAATACTTTCACCTTTCTTTATAGATTCATCTTGCATGGAAAAACTACTTTCTAAAGACTGGAAGGAGAAAATGGAGAGATTAAACACAAGTGAACTCCTTGGAGAAATAAAAGGTAAACTCTAATATGAATATAATGTCTTAATCTAGAGAAGTAATCCTCTAAAAACATTGATGGATGATAAATTCCCAGGAATGCTAATCCATCCTTTATATGTAATTTGAAGCAAATGGGTAGAGGCTCCTCTTGAATGTTTGGTTTTATGTTCACATGGATTTTATTTTGTATTTAGCCTTGTCTCAATGCGGATGAACTCTGTGGGATGAGATTGATTCTGATGCCTGTGTTGGTGGTATGCTTGGTTCATCTATCACAGGGGTGTCAAACTCTTTTTCATTGAGGGCCGCATCGCGGTTGTGTTTGACCTGGGGGGGGGGGCTGCAGTGTGTGTGACCAGGGTGGGTGTGGCCAGCTCGATGTCACTCATGTCAGGGACTCCTGTGGTAGCTCAAGTGCTCTGCCAGCAAAAACGGGCTCCTGAGCTGCATTTTTGGCTGCAATAGCCTCCCGCAATCCTCTGCCAGCAAAAACAGAACTCGGGAGGCCACCCTCCCGAGATCCATTTTTCCTGGCAGAGGCACCATGGGCCGGTCCTTCGCTGTTTCCAGGGCAGCCCCATGGGCCAGATCTAATCACCCTGCGGGCAGAATCCGCTCCCCCGGGGCTTGAGTTTGACACCCCTGATCTATCACAAAACAGCCTCTTATTAAGCAGGATCTTGGGAACTCACTGCCACAATGTTTTCTTAGACTTAAATTCCCTTAGATGGTGCAGTCATAGGTGGTTATGAAAAAAATTGGGTTTTTGGTTTCGTATTTCTTTTGTATAGCCATTTCTTTCCTCTTGGAATTATTAATTGTTGTAGTACACATTGTGTAGCAAGTATCTTAAAAACAAACTGAAATGATTAGAGAAAAGAATCCCAAATAAAAGAAACAAAGGTGTGATCTTCTCAGGAAGAACTGCTCTTTGCACTGAGTGCTACTAGGGAATTCTTTATTTTAATTCCCCAATTCTTTGCTTTACTTTAGAAGGAAGAAATTGTTTTGGAGGATAAATGAAGCTCATAATCTTCTTTTACTGCATTTCTTTTTAAGACATTTGAGTTATGGGGAAGGGTTGCTGGGGTTAAAAAAAAAAGTTTTTCTGCCAGTATCACACATGTTGGAACAGTACAACATATAGAATAAATGGTATACGTTGCAAAATAGACATGGTTTTAGCATTAGATTTTGTAATATGTGAGTATTTTTCTTCGTAGATGAGACTTTAAAAATAACTTCCCCTCTCCATGGGCAATTAGTCTGTTTGCAATATTTTATGAGAGGACCTATTCTGGATCAAGCCAAAGGCTTATTCTAGCCCTAGGTTTTGTTCCCACAGTTGGCAGCTAAATGCCTGTGGGAAGCCCAAAATCAATGTGTAAGTGCAAAAACATTCCCTCATGTTCTTGTGCAAGTAATATCTCAGTGCTGGACGCAATATGTAGCCATTATAATAGCCTATGATAGCCATTGACATCCTTAGTTTCCATGAATTAATGTCCTTTTAAAACTTTCCAAGTTGATTCTACAATTTCACCAGATAATTCTCCTGTACATGTCCCAATGTAAAGACTGAATTATATTGAATATCTTGCCTCTCATGGTTTTGATTTGCTCACATATATCACTTTTAATTAATTTTGTGGAGTGTTCTAAATGTCGGTTGTATTGTATGTTGGCCACTTAATGTGAGATGGGCAGACAGATAAATTTGATGAATAAAATAAATTAAAAATGAATAAAAACTCTTTTCTATCTTACCAATTTCTTTTGTTCGCATGCATCTTTTTGGCAGGAGATGTTCTCAAGAGGATTATAGCTCTAAGCAACTAAATCCTAGTTTAGTTTCAAGAATCCTCAAGATTCTTGAGGGAAAAAATGATTCAAGATAAATAGTTATTGTGATGAAGGGCATCCTTCCCAGTATACTATGATTAATGATGGACATCTACTCTTTTTCTAAAGAGCAGCTACTACTGGTCTAATAGGGCTATTTCTGGATTCTTCTGATTATTTAGAAGACTTGTTAGAGAATGTGGAATTTGGGGCATGTGTGCCAGTGGCTAGTATTGGTGTGCCCATAGCTTCTCACAGGAAACATACATTGCTGTAGTCCCAGTCTAACCCATGTAAATGACAATTTGGAATGTTAATAGATTTTTAGGAAGTTTTATAGGAAGACATTTGTGGAAGGGTGTATTTGGAATTATACAGATTTCATGGCCTCAGCCTCTTGGACTCTTTATTAGAATGCTCATTGGATTTGTTCTCAAAAACGCTCTGTATCCCAAAACTTTGATTGAAAGATGGAAAAAGGATTTCCAATCTTTTTCTGACATCCTTCTGAAGAACTAAACATACTACAACTGTGCTGGCGAACCTATGGCACGCATGCAGAGGTGGCATGCAGAGCCCTCTCTGTGGGCACGTGCCCCATCATCAGCTGCTCTTCTGGTTTCTAGCGCACACATGCGCACTGGCCAGCTGGTCTTTACATGTGCCAGACTGCCGGAAACCCAAAGACCAGCTGGCCAGTGCGCATGCGTGCGCTGGCCACCTGGTCTTGGCATTTCCGGTGCTCGGCATGCATGAAGACCAGCTGGCTGGCATGCATGCTTGCTCCAGAAATGCAAACACTAGGTGGCTTTGACCATTCCAGTTTGGGCACTTGGCAATGGTGAAATCCAAATTTTTTTACTATGGGTTCTGTGGGCGTGGCTTGGTGGGCATGGTATGGCTTGGTGGGCGTGGCTTGGTGGGCATGGCAGGGGAAGGATACTGCAAAATCCCACCCCACTCCAGGGGAAGGATATTGCAAAATCTCCATTCCTACCCCACTCAGGAGCCAGCCAGAGGTGGTATTTGCTGGTTCTCTGAACCAGTCAAAATTTCCGCTACCGGTTCTCCAGAATCTGTCAGAACCTGCTGGATTTCACCCCTGGCACTTGGTGCTGAAAAGGTTCACCATCACTGTAGTACACTATTCAATTGAGGGTTTTTTTTAACCCTTTAAGTACTTCTTATTTCTCCTTTAATTTCTCTTATTTCTCTTTTAATTCCCTCCCTATATTCTTTGCTGTTTGAACCTCTTATTTCTCCCCTTCCATTTCAAACTATTGAAATTTTCATTTTCTATTACTTAATAAAAAGAATATGGTATTTATCCCCATTAATTGTTTGTTTTGTAACACCTAACATTGATCTTAAAACATAAAGTTAATATATATCAACCCATGGCCTGAAACGTCATAATTATTCCACTGACATACCCTGTCACGTGTTTATTTTAATTGGCATATAAGCTCCTTTAAGATCATATAAAGAAGTTACGATTGTTCCAGCAGTCTAACAAAAACGTGGATTGTAAATACTATCTCTGAGCAACGGGTTCTAGTGTCCATTTCTGGAGGAACTTACTACTGAAACATAAACTGTATTTATAGGCATTGTGGCTTAAATGTCACATGCGGTCTTTGTATAGCAGGTTCTATTTTGGGATAGACATTGACTGATGTGAATAGCTTTGCCCACTGAAGAAAGGCATTTGCATTGTGAAGTGCTCTGACTACGCAGATGACTTGCAGGCTCTTTTTACATTTCTCCCTGGGTTTTAAATGACTTCACATAAGGAGATATTTTCAAATCAAACCGGTGTGTGGTGTGGTTATGTGGATTATTTGTAATTTCAGTGTTATAATAATAGTTAACAAACAGGAAGGTTCAGGCAGGTTTCTAAACTTTAAAAGCTTGGCAAAGAACTTCAACTCTGTAAGAGATTCCATCTACAGTGCAGGCAAAAAAATATATTCCACAATCCGTATTGAATTTCATGCTGATAGAAATAGCACTTTCTCCTTTTAGGAGCTAGGAGAAAGACAGCCATGAAGTATAACGGCAAGCATATTTTAATTGTGATGCTTTTCTGGAAATCATGTTGGGACCACCCTGAGAACATTGTTGTGCTATGTTGTGGTTACAAGTGCTACCTCTTGTTTTAAGAGGAGGAATAATTACTCTTGAATTAAGAACTCAAAAGTGGAAAATATGGGCAAGCTATCAGAAGTTTGAAATCTAAGATAACAGAATACACGAGATCAACCTGAATAAAAAGTTACCATGCTAGTTTGCTTTGCAGTTTATATGAGATGTGTTGAGAATATTTCTTTAACAGTGCAAAACCACTTTTGGCATGTCATGAGTGTATACAATAGTTTACTTTATAAATATATATCTTGCATATATATATATCACAGAAGCAGCCATAGGTTTTTAATTATGCCACTTTGTATGGTTGTAGACATTTCAAAGCTCCCCTTTGTGCTCTGTGTTATAAATGTCTTTTACTTCTTTTGAAGTCTACATGATATACATATGAGCAATTAAAAACACAGCTCAGGCTTGGAGACACTGGGTCTTCTTAATTAAACCTCAAACAAAAGCTACAAGCAAAAAACCCCTCACTTGTATTAGAGTCATTGTTAACTGCTAGGCTTCAGAAAATAAATATACAGGAAAAAGATCAGTTGGTTCCAATTAGAGAAATCAGTGTAAATATTGAATACAAGGGGCCAGGGGAACCCCCTTAAAATTAATACCAGGTCCTAATTAGTAATATACTACAGGGCATAACTTTATTTTTAGTAATGAATTCGTTAAAGTGATCAGATGGCCAGTATGTGTATGTGTTTTAGGGTTACTATTCCATAAAAAATGGATGGGGAAAAAATTTAAAGTCTGTCAAAACTACAGCCATCCAAAATTAAATATATTAGTGTTGTATTAATATCTATGGAAAAGTTTGTAAATTGACTCTTTTCTAAATAGAAAGAGTTTGGAAATAAAGTCCTTAATTTAAAGTTAAAACATACATTTAAGTAGCATTGCTTAAATTTGGTTTAGCTTTTTCCAATACGCACATTAAAGTGAGAGCTGATAAAGTCAGAGAACTGTACCTTAAACTTCGCAATTAAGCACCACTGAAGACAGTATGGAGTCAGAGTTTCGTACTGT